ACACACACACACACACACACACACACACACACACACACACACACACACACACACACACACACACACACACACACACACACACACACACACACACACACACACACACACACACACACACACACACACACACACACACACACACACACACACACACACACACACACACACACACACACACACACACACACACACACACACACACACACACACACACACACACACACACACACACACACACACACACACACACACACACACACACACACACACACACACACACACACACACACACACACACACACACACACACACACACACACACACACACACACACACACACACACACACACACACACACACACACACACACACACACACACACACACACACACACACACACACACACACACACACACACACACACACACACACACACACACACACACACACACACACACACACACACACACACACACACACACACACACACACACACACACACACACACACACACACACACACACACACACACACACACACACACACACACACACACACACACACACACACACACACACACACACACACACACACACACACACACACACACACACACACACACACACACACACACACACACACACACACACACACACACACACACACACACACACACACACACACACACACACACACACACACACACACACACACACACACACACACACACACACACACACGCACACGCACACGCACACGCACACACACACACACACACAAATGCATGCACGCACAAACAAACAAACAAAGGGAAAAAGAAATGAGTAAAAGGAAGAAAAGGGCGGAGGAGGAGGAAAAGGAGATGGAAGAGTTATTATGTATATTAGCACACTGATATATAATTTCTAAAATTCTTTTTGTCTAGGAACACACTGCAAAATATAGAAAGTTTATGATGCACTTGCAGTAGTAACTTCCCAGATAATTAAATCTGCAAGAGCAGATTTTGTGCAGTGTCTGTTGTAAATCCTGTTAGCAACTTATTCGCAAAAATAACACAAGATTTGATAGCAGAATATGACGGCAGAAAGCGATTAGGATCAGACGTTCCAATGTATTTAAATGGAACATATTACAGGTCCTGCTTGCTTTTTACCGCCAATCTACTGTTAGATTTTGTCAGCAGACTCTGTCGTCAGGACACAAACCAAATACGAACACAGATGTCTATAGATCGACAGATTTTGATCGAATCTGTCGCTAATCTGTCAATAGAATACTAACAGATTACTTAATGGGCTCTTATCTTAGCTATTAATTAATTATGGAATAATAAATCTCTATACAAAAATGGATTCTCTTCTTATTTTTTAAACATAATTTCTATAACATTCGCAATATATTATTTAAAAATTATTGTGTCAGCACTTTAATTAAATAACTTGTTCAATGTTGATATAATAGAATAACATACAAATTTGAGGAAAAATAATTAGTTTAATTTTGTTTAGTGGAGTACACAAAGCCCTATTAATGCTGTCCCACCCACTAGTATAGTAAAATTTGAAATTTTTTATCAGGTGCATTATATTATAAATTTTCGTATATGTCTATTGATTGTACTGGACAAAAATTTCTTAACTTTTTGTATGTGTCGAACTCTTTTGATATATTTTTCGCATAATTTACCTTGAACAAAAGAAAACTAATTAAAGGACGTTATGACTAAAGAAATTTAGTTCGTTTTGAGGCAGGCATAGATCGATATTCACCATTTAACCAGTTTTGCAACGTTGATATGTACAAACTTTACAATAAATATAAGGGCTATCCTTATTATTATCTCTTGCTTTGCATCTGAAATATAATTCATATATTTTACAAGTAAATGGAGTTAACTTGCACTTTTATATCACTAAAGTAAATATAACAAAAATAATCACTTCTTTTGACACATTTGCGCGACATACTGCAATTCTACTTGTAAAACGACGCTGTTAACAATGTTTAAAAGATAATGTTAAGAAAAGAATACTTGTCTAATAAGAGATATCACTTCAAGTTTCCATGAACTAAAACGAATTAATGCAAGGAATCTATTCACCCCTTATTAAATCACCTTGACAGGGCAATAAAACAATTTTCGCAGTATGAAAGGAATCTAATATTTCCACATTTTTCTCTGTAAAGTTACATCTTTTATCTCTAACAAATTGGTTTTATACAATTAAAAAATTAAGAATTTGTAAATTTTCAAGCAAATAACCTTTTAATGATTAAAGAAATTTCTGTTCAGTCTTTTTGCAACGTTAACTTTTTCTTATAAATCCTCAATCATAATTAATAATATAGGCATATTTGTATTTAAATAAAAAAAAAATGTTAAAAAATATTTATTTTTCGAGAAAAAATTGAAAGTAGCTGATATTACACCCAATGTGGTAAAAACGGAACTTGAAAGAAATGTGACGAATGTTCTAGGATTAATAAAGTTATTAAAAATTTTTGAAAATTTTTTTTGCTGAAGACCATAATTTTAATATTATAGGGGGCATTATTTATGAATCTTGTCTAGAATAATATAGCGTGCGGGCGTCTCCTACTGAGCAATGAGTAATGAGTTTACCCATTTTTATTTCTTATCACATTTTCTATGAAACATCTTCACATATAACATATAGTATAACATATAACATATAACATATAGTATAACATATAACATATACCCTATTCTTTCTACAACTCTTTTTCCAGTGATCATATTATGGCAAGGTTCCACGAAAGGCTTAATGGGTATTCTTCCTAGTCCGCCATATATTCAAATTTTCAGGTGACATATTTATTTTTAACATTATTATTATACGCTTCGTTACATCGCAATTGTACTTCTTTTTTTTCATTATAAACTCTTTTCCTTAGCTTAACTGTTTCTATAAGTTCCTCCTCATCTATCGCTTTTATCAATTCCATAATTGATCCATCCGAATTTTTAATAACTGCTTTAATTCTTTAATCCTTTAATGCTTTAACTCTAACATTCCTATTTCCCTCCTATGGAAGAGTTAGACAGAAGTTAAAGTGTATAGAATTTGAACAGTTTGAAAATGCGTCGAAGGGTAGAGCTTGGAAGATATGATAGAAATCTTAGAAATAGAAAGAAAAAGAGAATTAAAGAAGAGAGGATGAAGAAATTGAATATAACTGTAGGTATAAAGGAAAACATAAGCGAATAGTAGTAATATAAGCAAAATAGAAGTGGTAAAGTAGTATTTTGGAAGGAGATTTTGAAGGATTTATAGTGGAAAAGAGGGATATATTGGAAGGAAACGAGAATAAAAAGAGAACGGTAATAAAGACAAAAAGAATGAAAAAGGATTAGGAAGTTCTGAAGTAACAGTAAAGGAAATTTAAGGGAAATAAAAGAAAAGAATAGCAAAGAAAGGTCAGGAATCAAGGACGAGAGAGCAGTAGGTAGAGGAAGCGAGAATAATAACACGAATAAACCATTAGGAAAAGGGGATGTGAATCTGAGAAATGGAAAGGGGTCTTAAATGAGAAAGAACTAATTAAAGAAGATGTTATACATGAATCAATGGAAACGAATATTGGAGAACAGGAAGGATTTACTGTTGTTCAAAGGAGAAAACGAAATAGTTTTTGAGAGAGTAATGAAAATGAGAGATATTTTTAAAAACTATGAATTATATTAACTGATAAAGAGAAAAAAAGTATTTTAGGAGGAAATACAACATTTAAGGACTACAATGAAAAAGAGTATATATTGTCGCGAGACTGAAGCAAGAATATGTGACAAAGGTTAAGAAAACTATAATATAATAAGAATACTTAGTCAGGTAATGAGAGACAGGTTAAAATGGATGGAGATATTGGAGAATAGCTTAGGGTTTAACTTTTGATAACGTAGAAGAAACAGATAAGTGTTTGAAGATAAATGAACAAAGAAATGGTCAAGTAGTTTATTCAGTAATAGAGGGGAATAGGAATGTTAGAGTTAAAGCAGTTATTACAAATTAGAATGTATCAATTATGGAATTGATAAAAGCGTTAAATGAGGAGGAACTTATAGAAACAGTTAAGCTAAGGAAAAGAGTTTATAATGAAAAAAAAGAAGTACAATTGCGATGTAACGAAGCGTATAATAATAATGTTAAAAAGAAATATGTCACCTGAAAATTTGAATATATGGCGGACTAGGAAGAATACCCATTATGCTTTTTGTGGAACCGGTCATGCAATGTTTCCAATGGATATGATCACTGGAAAGAGAGTTGTAGAAAGAATAAGGTATATGTTATATGTGAAGATGTTTCATAGAAAATGTGATAAGAAATAAAAATGTGTAAACTGTAAGGAGAAACAATCAAACGATAGAAAGTATAAAATTTATCAAAAATATGTAAATACAAACAAAATAGTTGCGGAAAAAAGAATTTCGATATATGAAATTAAGAAAAAAATAATGGAGAGGAATAGTAATAGAAAGGAAAAGAGATAAGCGAAAACGATAGGATAAAAATAGAACAGGAGATGAGGGAAAAATATTTAAAAGAAGCTGAAGTAATGTAATGAGAGTTGGTACAAGAGAAGAAGAAGTAGGAAAGGAAAAGAAGAAAGATAGACAGAAGATCAGTAATGACAAATGAAGGTAGGATGGAAAATCCAAA